ATTCTCTCTTTATTCTCTCTCTTTCAGTCCAACTCACACGCCTTTTTCGCTGTCCGTTTTATTTCTTGTCGCTTTCTCTCAATCGATATCGATTTGGGGCTGTGGTTTATTTCCGTTGCAACAGGATTACGCGGCCAACACACTTATGGTGGCCTCGTAGGAGGATGTATTTGCTATAAAGAAATTTACGTACATAAGAGAGAAGAGGTGGCGGTTGAACAAATGAAAGAAGAAGAAGAAGAAGAAGAAGAAGAAGAAGAAGAAGAAGAAGAAGAAGAAGAAGAAATGAATCTGGTATTATGTTGGCCCAACATTCATAAGAATAGAGGCGAAGAAATATTATGATACACGAGTATCGACCATTTTACAAGTACACAAATGTATTAGCTGTCAGAAACAGGGAAAAAGTGGATCAAAAATGTTTAATAACAATTATGTCTGTCTGCTTTGAGAAATAAATAAATTATTTATATTATTTACATTCATAGCAATGTCCTCGTCATTTTTGTTATTATCTCAACGTTTCAGCCTTTGTGTCCTTCGGCCTTCTTCAGGTGTCTGTTGATCGGGGTAGATTGTTCACGTTCCTCTGTTCATCTACAGATATCTCGCCATTTTTTTTGTTACTACGACTGCTAAGGTATTCAAGAATCAGATCAAACAGACACCTGAAGAAAACCGGAAAGCAGAACGGTCGAAATGTTGCGATAATAAGGACAAAGATGAGGACATTAGTCCGAAATTTAGCTAGTGAAACTCGATAGAAATCATCCTTTGTAATCTAGTTTCTGCGCACGCGCACACACACACACATTGTTACAATTGTTATGCATATTTTTCTCATTCACTTTGAAAGACGCCTTTTATTTTAAATACCGTATATACTCGTGTATAAGTCTACTTAATGTAGAGTGAAACCCCTGAATTTCTTTGCGAAAAATCTGATTTTTTTTCACATAGCTCATGTATAATGCGAACTTAGCAATACGAGTTGACCTACCGTAATCAAATAATGTAGTACTGGTCATCACCCTGGACATATTTTATAGTAAATTAATGGCCCTTAATTTCTTTTTGTACAAAACAACTCCAAAATGGTGAGAAAAACCACTTACCGTAAAATATCCGATACAAAGATTTAAATATTGTATTTTTGTCTTCATTCATACCTGATTTTTAACCTCTTCGAAAAAATTACCTGTGTATAGTGCGACCCACTATTCTTTTACGTATAATAAACTGATCATAAAAACTAGCACTATACACGAGTGTATATGGTACAAATTTAAAATTAAATTTTAAATATAAAAAAAAAATCCTTTATTATTATTAGTGAGTGTAACATATATGATAGGAGGAGATTGTCAACTGGTCGTCTACTGAAAAGGAGTAGAGATTTAGGCCTTGTTTCTTTTTTAGGATTGGGTTTCCTGTTCCTTCTAATGTCTGCTTATTCTCTTTCACTCCAGTATGTATATATATATATATATATATATATATATATATATATATATATATATATATATATGTATATATATATATATAAATATATATATATATATATATATATATATATATATATGTGTGTGTGTGACAGAATAAGGAACAAGGAGGAAACGTTTATAAATGTAACATATTTTTTACGAATTTTCTGACGAAGCATAAATAAAAGCGAAACGTTAAATTTATAAACGTTTTCTACTTGTTCTTATCTTATTCTGCCCGATTCTAACCCACATTTGAACCATATTTCATCCCAATACATCCATCCGTCCACCCATCGATCCATCCACACACACACACACACACATATATATATATATATATATATATGAATTGTATAAAAATGAAATTCAATTGTACCCCATTTTTATTTTTTATGGCAATTTCGCTCCTCGGGATAAATTCCCTGAAGCATGTCAATACTAAACCGTTTTATAAAAAAATGAATCGTAACGTTTTTTAATATATATATATATATATATATACTAACAAATTTTATTAATTCTACCTACAAGGTTTGTATATTGTTTATATCTTTCCAATTTCCGAAATGAGGTGTTGTGCATCGTTATTGTGATTATGAATGAATTGTCCAAAGTTCATGTTTGTTCCTTCACAAGTACTTTCAACTGTTACTGTCATTGTTTAGTATGACCCATGTCCCTTGTACACGCACACACACACACACACACACACACACACACACACACACACACACATATATATATATATATATGTAATACATCTGATGAATATTTGACGCTATAGTAATTATATAAGACAATTTGGAAAGCATTTATTTTGTCATTTTTCGCGAAGAATCTACGCCATCAGAATTTTTTTTTATCCTAACAAAATCTGTATTAGCAAGAAAAAACGTAAGTCACATAAATCATTTGGATGCTTGATTTTTACTTTATCATTACAGAAAATTGACTTATAAGTAATTTCAACTCAGTTTTATTGTGACTTATTCATTTCTTGTGAAACATCACTT